AGGCAGAGGCAGGCAGATCTCAGTGAGTTTGAGGCCAGCTTGGTCTACAAAACGAGTTCCAGGACAGCCAGGACTGTTACACAGAGAAACCCTGTCTTTAACAACAAAAACAAAAAAAATCCTCAAGAATTAGAGGATCCATGTGTGTAGTCTAAAATATTATTTTCATAGATGTTTGTTGAATAAATGTGTAAAATAATGTCAGCCCTGAAATTACACACATACAAGTAACACTAAATGGACTGAGTAGGTTGTTGCTGTTGTTGTTGTCAGTGTGTGTGTGTGTGTGTGTGTGTGTGTGTGTGTGTGTGTATTCAAAGGAGAATGTGCTATGATTCTGAGAGGGAGGAAGCAGAATGTAGTGGGACTTTCTTTTGGGGATTGTGAGTTCCCAAATAATGATATAGATATTTATTATTAATTATGAAAGCTTGGCCGTTAGCTTAGGCTTGTTCTCAACTAGCTCTTATAACTTAATTAACCTGCTTCTATTAATCTATGTCTTGCCACATTGCTCCTTACCTCTCCTCCATTTTCTACGTCCAACTCCTCTGTATCTCACTGACATCTCCCTCAAGTGCCTAGATTCATCCCAAGTTCCTCTCTCTTCCCAGAAGTTCTGTCTAACCTCTCCTGTGTAGCTATTGGCCATTCAGCTCTTTATTAAACCTATCAGGAGACTTAGGCAGGCAAGATAGAACAGTGACACATCTTTACACAGTTTGCTCAACTATCCCCCAACACTAGGGAACATGGGGGAATTGGAGAGAGGAAAGGGAAGGTGGATAATGTGATGTTTAACTTTAAAAAATAACAACTGAGTGATTTTCATGAATTAAAAATTATGAATGTGCAATTAGTTTTGTGCCAGATACTAGAGAGAAACATTTTCTGTCTTATTTACTATTTCTGTCTTATTTAATAACTTCAGCTCAGTGTACTATCTTTTTCTCCTTAGTGTCCAGCACTATCTAGCAGATCAGTACCTTATTTACCTTTTCTGCTATTGTCTCCCATAAAAATTGAATCTCTAAGAGACAAATGTTTTTGCCTATTTTGTTCATTGCTGCATCTCCTACCTCGAAGATTACCTGTTACCAAGTAGATATTCAGTAGATATTTATGGCATAAAGACCATCATCACTATGGCTCAAAAATTATCTGGATTTATGTCAAGCCTGCCACAGTATCCCATGGCTTCCTTAAAAAAATAAAAATAAAAAATAAAAACAAACAAAAAACCGACAACTATACTGGGAGACAAGAATTATTATTCTGATGAGGTGGGCACTGAAAGCTTCAGAAAGATAGGGTCACCATCTCAAACCCAGACAGTGGCTCACCTCATAAATGGCTGCATCAGAATTCAAATTCTGGGTATTGTGGTTACAAACACATGCTCTCATCATGACCTCAGTCTATCTTGAAATGAGAAAACATCCTGAGCCTGTGGCAGAATATTCATGAAGAAGGTAATGTAAAAGGAGAGACCCCATTACAACCCAGGCCATCTTAGAAAGACCTTATTGAGCAAAGATATCCCTTTAAATTAACAATGTAATAAATGTAGGATGGAAGAGATTAAAAGAGGCTATTAGATGGGGGAAGGCTAGCCAATGACTATACCTCCTAATGAGATGCCCACCGTGTGTGGGCAAGCAATTTCTCTGACTATTATCTGATGTGAAGGGAACAGCAAGGAGCTCTTCAATGGCACACAGAAACACCTTCTTCCACACACACCTGCTTAGGGCACAGCAAAAGACAGTGAGTAAATGTCTGGAATATTGCATAAAAGCTGTCTGCCCAACCAGTCAAAGCTATTAAAATCCATCTCTCTGAAATGAACCCTGAGAGCAGGTCAAACAAATCTAATTTTTATTGTTCCTTAAGGAGATGTCTGTGCCGGAGACAAAGGAGAAAGGCAGGAGGCCAGTTCAGAAGAGAAGGGGGAAAAAAACCCTAAGAGGCCTTAAAAAATTAAATGTTCAAAAGAGCTGTGGCAGGCAAGATAAATGATATATTACAGCGCTGGTTTAAACCTAATTGATGACTAATGTTGTAATGCAGTTGAACCTATGCTGATCTATTATCTGTCTGCTCCGGGCTGAAGGGACACTGCAAGGAGAAAAATTGCTAACTGTTTTAACCTGATGGAACTTTGAAAAAATAACCAGTCTAGTTACTTTAAAAGAAAAATGGCTGGGTAGTGACCTTCTAATGTATATCAGGGTCTTGCAATGCAAAATCAAAAGTTAATTAAATAGAATCCAGCACAAGAACAATGTAGGAAGTGTGTTTTAAAACTCAAGTGGCCATAATGAATTGTTCTGTTGGGTCCTTACAAAATATTTCAAAGAAGCTACCGATGGAGAGCCAGCAATGCCAAATAATAAAGTAGTCATTAAGAAGTCAAATGCACATGCAAACATCATCTGAAAAACACCTACATACAGGCACAGCTAAGCCACAGCCATTGTGAGGGCAGTAAGATCATCAACAGAGCTGCTGTGATGGGTTGGAGGGGATCTATTTTCTTGCTTTATAACAACATTCAGAATAAAACATAAGCAAATGATGTAAAGATATTCTTTAAAGATTCAGGAGTCAGCTTGAAAGGGTTCCAGGGGCAAGTCTAGGATAGCATTAGCCACAGAGTAGTGGAAGTATTATGTTATGCCAAAGACTAGAAGGAATCAGAAGTAACATCTCCAGTAATGGGACAAGTGGGTTTCATGTGCCTCTTGATGCAGTGAACTGGAAAGTACCCAGCACCCTTCTTGTGGCATGGCCTGCAAAAAATGAACAACCAGGAAGATATGAGGAAAGTCAAACTAACTGATGAATGTACAACAGAGTATTTGGCCAGTTTTCCTAAAAAGTATCAAGGTCTTAAGTCAAACATAAAGTAAAAAAGATGATGTGGAAGGTGCTCCACATCAAAAGAAGTGAAGAATACATGACCATTACATGCAACCTGTGATGCTGGAGCAGGAAAAATGTGTTCAAGGGATAAGTGGTTCGAATAAGAATGGCTCTCAGAGGCTCATATGTTTGAATATTGGTCCTCAGTTGGTGGGAATGTTTAGGAAGAATTAGGAGATATAGCCTTGTTGGTGGAGGTGTGTTACTAGTGGCAGGCTATAAATGTGATTTGAAGGGGCCAGACTCTATTCCAAGTGGGCAGCCAAATTTGGCAACATCGTCCATGTGGTTCTAGATTTAAAGCACAATCAATGTGTGGCAGGGCAAGCCTGCATGATGATTCTGAGAGGGTAGGAAGTCCTGAAAGGTCATTGTATGAAGCTGTGAAAGTGAAGCTTGGATTGCATTGAAGGCGATGGGATGTTGGATATGCCAGAGCCATGGAATAGCTTTGCAAGTGGGACCAATCCAAGAGACAAAATTACGTTGTAGTCACCGAAGCCAGAAGTGCAGAGCCATCTAAGCCCTCTAACATCAGATAGGGAGTCAAAGGATTTAGAGTTTGCCTTGCTGGGTTTCATTCTTGCTTTGATATAGTATTTCCTCACTATGCCCCAATTCCTCCTTTTTGGAATGGTAATGTATATTCTTTGACATTGTATATTGGAAATATGTAATTTGTGTTTTGGTTTTACAGGTGTTTTCAATTAAGAGATTGCTTTGAGACTCATAAGACTTTGAACTTTGAAACAAGTGTTGAGACTCAAAGAATATGTGGAATTTTGAAGTTGGGATAAATGCATTTTGCATTATGATACGGCCATAAGCCTATGGGAGCCAGGAAGCAGAATATATTGGTTTGAATACTTGGTCCCCAGTTGGTGAAACTGTTTGGAAAGAATTAGGAGGTGTGGCCTTTTCAGGGGAGGTATGTTACTGAGAATTGTCTTTAAAATTTCAAAAAGATTTTAAATGACTCATCCCATTTCCAGGTAGTCTCTACTTCGAGTGGATCCAGGTGTGAGCTCTCAGCTGCTGCTCCAGTATCATGCCAGCCTGCTGTCATGCTCCTCACTATGATGATCATGGATTCTAACCCTCTGAAACCATAAGACCCTAATAAACTCTTCTGTAAGTTGCCTTGGTCATGGTATCTTACCACAGCAATAGAAAGGTACAGTGATAGACACAAGCACTATTTGTTAGCTGTTAAAACTTTTTGTAAATCCATGATCATTTTTATAATTAAACCATTAATACACAAGTGGCATTGTTGTGCTTTCTTTAAGGACCTACACTTAGGTTTATTATTCTAGAAGACATTCTCTTCAGAAGCAATTAAGGACCACCACTAAAACCTGGGTGCCCTCATGTGATTGGAAAGGGAAGGAACCATATAATAATAATGTATTATTATATTGATGAAGGTCATCAGAGGTCAGATAGCATAAGAGGAACAAGAAGCCTGAGCAGCTTACATGATTTAGACACAGAGACTATGAAAGGACCACTGAGAATAGTTCAACTCTGACACTGCGTATACAGAGAGGCAACTGTCATTAGCCATTATAATTACACTTTTTATTTTGCATTTATTCTGTGTTAGCATTTGTGCTGATGTCCTACATATATTATCTCTTTAAATTCTCATAAAATCTTATGAGGGAGGTTTTGTCTGCATTTTAAAATGTATTGAGGAAAACACAACTCACTTTCTAAAACAGGCTTCCAGCATTGGCAGTGGCTGGAAGGATTGATGCCAGAGTTTATGCCTATTGCTCTACCACTGAGGAAACACTGTCTCAAGAGTGAAGAGCCCATTTCAAATGACTTCTAAAAAGTTCAACTAAATCTCATCTGTACCTTAAGGATTAATGTTACATTTGGAAACGAAAAAAACATCAGGAAAGGCAGTTCCAGACAATTGTGCAAAGGACCATTTCATCAGAAGACTATGCGTTTAGGATTTATTTATGTCGTACTAACCATCAATGAGCCCATTGCTAATAATACTTATCTGTTACCTTTATTAAACAAGGAATTGCTGAACATCTTCATGTGCAAAACTCACTACTGAATTTACCTTGCAGGGGAGACACCATGCTCACAAAGGTGGTTTTCCGAAGGCAAGGCTCATCACACTCTGGATGTGCTGACCCCTGTGCTTTCCCCAAATGTGGAAAATTGGCTGCAGAATCTGTGGCAGTGGGGTGGGGTGGGGGTTGTGTTTAAGATCCTTCCCATAAAAAAAAAAACCCTCACTGCTTAGCCTGAGAGATTAAAAAAAAAAAGTCACCCATTTGAGATTACCATGAAAGAAAGCCATGGTAAGTAACACTTAATCTTTGCATTAGCCCCATTTTCCTTTCTTTACTTTCTCCTTGTCCTCCTCTTCCTCTTTCCTCTCCTCCTTATTTCTCCTCATCTTTTCTTCTTTCTTATTCTCTTCCTTATGGAAACACTGAAACATAAAGAATTAGTATTAACTAAAAATTTCAGGAAAATTTACACAGTGGAGAGTCATGAACAGAGTCTTCAACAAGAACTTCTCATCTTGAAATGCAAAGATGAAAGATCCTTGTTAGACAACAAACTCACCATATCAAAACCATCCTGGTGGAAGATTCCATGGAAATCAGATCCTATGTACAATGTTCAGAACAACGCATGAGAGGGAAGAGAAAAGAGAAAAGAGTAAGAGCAACAGTGACAATAAAAGCTTAATAAACATTTGTAAGGGTAGCTTGGAATTTGTCAGGGAGAGGGAAATGGCCCAGGATAAGTGTCGACTCTGCATTTGCCTCTTTCATTCAAGATTTAACTCCAAGTACCAAAGGCCAGGTTCAAGATTTATGTTTAAACTCTTCAAAAGAATCAAACACTAAAATGACCCTGTGAAACCTCTCCTTGGCATGAGCTCTTATTGCTGCATTCCTTTCCAAGAGCAAATTATGCCTGCTGTCCTTTAAGATTCTCTTGTAATCCAAGCTTTCCATAACATAAACTGGTTGTCTGCCCCTGAGTATGAGAAGGATTGACTTATAAGGGATCTTTTTCTTTGATATATTTTGGTGAGGACAGATGCTATGAGTATTTCAGGGTAGCAAAATAAGAACAAACACACTTACAAAGAAGTCTTAGCTTCTCTATGTGGGACCTGACAGGTACACAGAGGCTCTGGCCACCTCCCAGGTTGGCTATGACCTCCCAACTTCCTGCACCACTGGTTAACAAGGTCAAAGTCATAGTTTATGAAACTCAGCTAGTTCAGCGAAAACATCTTGTTGAAAAACCTCCAGTACTCTGGAAATAGATTTCTAGGGTTTTCTTGAAAGGTTTATGAGAACACCATGGCTAATCATGAACTTATATGAACAAAAGGGCCAGAATGCAACCCTTGAAATTGTTGTGTGCATCTCTTTGTAGATCTGTACTTAATCACACAGATAAAAATACAAGCTCTGAGGTCAAGAAGACCTAGGTCCAAATCACAGTTTTTCCATTTACTGGCTATGTGCAGAACAAGTTACTTTGTGCTTCTGCACCTTAGTGGTTCATGGTTCTGATACTCAATTCTCGAGGTTATTTTTGAGGACAGTGATTCCCCTGAATATGACTGAAGATCACAACGCTTTGTGCTTTCACTCAGTTGTTCCCAATAAAGTCACCCTAGCCACCATACTTAATGCTGGCATTTTTTTCAGAGGCCCAAATACTTCTTCCCCTCCTTTTATATTTCCTACCTAGCACTATTACTATATATAAAAATGTATAGATTACTATTTTTCTATTCTCAACTTTGTCTCTGAACCTAACATATATGTTTAAAGATTTATTTTTTTAATTTTATGTTTATTGATGTTTTACCTGCATACAAGAGGACATGCATTTCCCTGGAATTGGAGTTACAGAGGGTTGTTAGCTGTCATTTAGATGTTGCGAACCAAACTAGGTTCCTCTTAAAGAGCATCAAGTGCTCTTAACTACTGAGCCATCTTTCCAGCCCTGAAACTAACATTTTAGCAATTCAAGGGCAGATAATTTTGAGTGTTTTAATCACTGCTGTGTCTGTTGGACCTAGAAGAATGTTTAGAAAATAATAAGGACTTAGTAAATATTTATTGCATGAATGGATGGATAATTAAGTGGTTGGCCAATGGAAGGATTCTGGGATAGAAGATGGCTTGATAAGTTTATACTCCCACTACCCTTTGGTGCCAAGCACGTAGTAGTAAAACATGAACTACAAAAGAAAAATAAATACAAAGATGTTTGTGTTATATAAGATGGAAACATTAGAGAAAGTTGGATAAAAATTATGGAACTTTTTGAACTATCTCTGAAACTCTTCCATAAGTGCAAAATTATTTCAAAAGTTCTAAAAAAAGGTTTACAAAAGAAAGATAACTATTTCTATAATCCAGAAATAAAACATGACACATGGGAATAATAAGGGGCTAAAGGTATGGCCTACCAGACTCACCTAGGCAACTTACAGATGGGCAACTGAGAGCCAAACATAGTAGGGGATAGGCTTGACTCTCATGTGTTGGAACTGGCAGTCTGGGGTAGCACTCTCCTATCCACGAATGGAAGCTTGATGTCCTACCACCTGTTGCCTAAGATTGTGGTTTCTAAAAAGCTCAAGAAGGAGGAACGGCCGCACAGCCAGGACTCCAGCCAAACTATCTGCTTAATGGCTCGTTTCTAAAGAAGGGGAGAAGACCAGTATTTCTAAACCTTATGCTTGAGATGTTTCAATGCTAGAGACAATAGATTGGTGTCAGAAGGCCGAATGACAAAAATAGCATTATGCTTCAGTAAGATGTGTGTAACATCATGGCCACAAAGAATATCATCAGACCTTCTAGAGAAAAAGGACAGATCACCTACCATAGAACAACACTGAGGCTAACAGCAGGTAACTTAAGAACAGTCATCTTTACCAAAAGACCAGCAGCACCTTCCCAAATGCTGAAATGGAAAAGCTTTGACTAAAGATGAACACATGTAGTGTTATCATTTAAGATTGTACTCACTTGTTAGGATTGTCATAACCACACATAGACACCAGCTGACTCAAGCACCCAGAAGACAATTCCTCAGTCTGAAAACTGCAAGTCTAAGTTCAAGGTGGCCGTGAATACACAATCAAATGAGGAGTCACCTGATCTCCCTTTTCCATCTATGATCACTGTCATCTCGTCGTGTCTTCACATTGTGGCTCCCTGGTGCACACATTTCCAGGTGTGTGTTTGAGTACTCCAATTTCTTCTTTTCACAAGAGCATACTCAGATTGGGCTAGGAGACATTCTAATGGTCTCATTTTAACTCAACTATACTTTTAAAGGTCTTATCTCCATAGTTAGTCACATAATGAAGGTTATGGTTTCAGCATATGAATTTGGGAACTGAGAGACACAGTTCAGCCCATAACAAAGAGTAAGATATATATGTGTGTGTGTGTGTGTGTGTGTGTGTGTGTGTGTGTGTGTGTGTATACATATATATACATATATATGTCTTTATATACATATATACACATATATATGTCTATATATATAAATATATATATTCGTGTTACAGGTATATATGTAACATGAATCTTAGATGGTTTTATAATAAAAAACCTGGAGCCAGATATTGGGGTGAAAGCTTAATGATCAGAGAAGCAGAGCAAGCCACAGCCAACCTCACCTTGCCAACTCTAATTCGATCCTGTTTCCATGAATCCTCAGACTGAATGCCTCTGAGTCCTCACCAGAAAGGGTCTCAGCTGAACTGCCTAAGTTCCTGTTTCCTCATGCCTTATATACCTTTCTCTGCCCTGTCATCACTTCCTGGGATAAAAGGCATGTGTGCTTCCCAGTACTGGGATTAAAGGTGTGTGCCATCACTGCCTGGCTCTGTTTCCAGTGTGACCTTGAACTCATAGAGATCTAGAAGGATCTCTGCTTCCTGAGTGATAGGATTAAGGGTCTGTACCACCACTGTCTGACCTCTATGTCTAATCTAGTGGCTGACTCTGTCCTCTGATCTTCAGGCAAGTTTTATTAGGGTACACAATGTATCACCACATATAAATATAGTCAAAGACTAACAAAATAATTAGAGTAGTTGTTACTTTCGGATACTTGCTTTAAAAATATCAAATGTTATTTATTGGCAAGGAGAAAAATGCTACAAAATAAATGTTACAAAATAAAATAGTAGAAATAGATCCAAAAATTAGAAATTAAAGGAATTAAATTTATTTGTTGAAACTAGAGATTATCACAATGGATTCATAAAAGAAAACCAACAAAAAAAATAGTCCAAAGACTGAAACTCAATGAATGAAACAGCATGCAAGACGTAAGTCAAATAAGGCTGAAAACAGTTCTGCAATCATAATGGGAGCCTTAAAATCTTTTCTTCCAAAAGCATTTTAACAATATATATAATATATTATATTTATATAATGTTTAATTCATGTTTGTACATAAGTATTTTCCATGTATATGAGTATTATGCGAGTATGCATGTTATTCAATATATGTGTTTAGCATTGAGAATATATGAACTTCCCCTAAAACGTTATCTTGGCCTTATCATTTTGGCATATGTCTCTTGGGTAGAATTAGTCATGATAACTCAGGCCTCCCTATCTTCAATATACTCCATACAGTTCTCATCTCAGTATAAGTAGAAATGTACCTGTCTGTCTATAACAGACTTTTTTTCCCAGTCACTGGAACATTAACTATCTCTGTAACTCCATTTACAGGTACAGTACATGTGGATGAAAATTTCTTGTTGAATGAATGAATCCATAGTTTCTATACTCAAGAAGTTCACAAAATAGAATAATAAGTAGCTAACATGCATTAAGAAATCTAGGTACCAAGCACTTTTTAAAGTGTCTTATAGGGACTATTCCATGAATCATCACAGCATCCCATGTGGAAGGTGTTCAGGTTATTTCCTCTGTGTGTGTGTGTGTGTGTGTGTGTGTGTGTGTGTGTGTGTGTGTGTGTGTATTTATGAATTCATTTATTTATTCTTCTCTCATATATTAAAGCCTGCTAGCAGTTTCCCCCTCCTTCTCCCCTCCTAGTCCCCCTCCCCCGTCTACTCCTGCTCTTTTCCCTTCAGAAAAGAGCAGACCTCCCAGGGATATCAACCAAACATGGCATATCAAGTTGCAATAAGACTAGGCACCTCTCCTCGTATTAAGGCTAAACAAGGCAACCCAATAGGAGGA